AAGATACCAAACAAAAAAATACCGTTCAATACTATTTAAGTACGTTTGCCCGTCATGACCACCAACAGCATACAGTAAATTGTCCACCACAGCCACCCCTACACCACATCTGAGAAGAATTATTCGAATGGAAAACTTGAACTTATTCGCAGAAAGAAGCGCCTACCTTCGTTTACTCATTGGAGCAACACATTGCCATACCGGAATTGCCTTACCCGGATCAAGACGTTCTACCGACGCTATAGCGTCACCGCTACACCATCCACCCACTAAAACACTTCCATTAACTGTATATCGGTTGTCATTTTACTATGAATTTTACTGTTGAAAAACTACTAAATTTTCGTCGTTTTGTCCCAACATTTAGACGGGTTTTCTCGTGGAAACATTGTTGCAGAGTCATCACCAAAAATTCTACCTGCATAAAGGACTTCTCCAAACTTAATAGGCTTCCTAGGGCGAGTTCGAGGACCCTGCATATTCGGTCGCTCAAGCGGTAAAAGTAGGTAATTCTGAAAAGATAAAACATCATTACTGGAAGGTTAAGAATACTATTAATCACAATAATTAATATATGAATTAACAAGCAATTGAGCAAAATAAAAAAGTTTACTAAAAATATTAACCTTCGCCTCATCAACGAGATCACGACAAGCAGCATCAGCTTTTACCAGGGCATCTTCACTAACTGTACTTACCAGGAATTTCGGATGGCACAACGGCAGTCTTACGTGTTCTAGTAACTAGAATAGCGAAATAGTAAAGCGTCTAGACAACTAACAAAGGTGTACCTTAGATAAATACTGCTTGCGTGATGGTAAATCAAATCGGACCCATTGCACAACAGCCGCAAAGACCTTCAAACCTTTGTCTAATAGTAAAAGCAGGAAGATTTGAATAAGTGAAACAAGTAAATCAATACATAATTCAACAATTTTAACTCACTTGTTCTTCTGAGCGAACGTGAAGCTCTTCGCTAGATATAAGATCGATTAATTGGTTAACTGGAAGTAGGTGGAATTCCTCTGTCCCGACGACATCCTGCAAATCAAATACAGCTAGCCAAGCTAATTCGAATCATTTTAAAATTTCAGTTCAAACGCCTTGATTATTAACGAGTTTATGTTCGAAGTTATCAATGAGAACGCACTCAAAGAAAATCAATATGAAAAAACGAAGAGCCGACTAGGCCGCAACAGAGGTAAGTAACTCAGGAATTAAATTAAGCAAACTCACACATAAGCACTTCATACCTGGAAGTTATGCAAAGTGTACTTGTCTGCGCTTCGCAACAATTCTTGGCATGCGTGTGTGTCAGCAAAGGCGCGAATCCCTAAGCAGTTTGACGGATCCAACTGCTTTTTTAGGAATTCACAACAAACTTCCTAAATGATCCAGCTTTTATCAACATATGCAAAGCGCTGTAGTCATGAAACCACCCACCTGAACTTCATTCAATTGGAGCAGACAAGCCGCTGGAAGTATGTTCTGGACATTAACATCAGTAATTTTTATTTCACCAGAGTAGCAAAAATTTACTAACGCATCTAGAGTGTTTGCGTCCATATCGACCATTTCAATTTCTTCTAAAGAATTGGGAGCAATTAAGTATAATAAGATTGAGTTGAATTGTTAATTGCCTTGGAAAACCTACGCAATCTGCTCTCAGCCATCTCTCCAGTGAACATTGCCTTGAAATAGTTGGAACATGCAGTCAAAACAAGTCGATGGGCGTTGATGCGTGTTCCCTGAGATATTAATTTGAGCTCTTTAGGTTTATCATGTCCTTGTTATCGCAACACAAACAATCTCAAGAGCCTTTAAAGCCGTTTAAGATTCTCCTAATATGGTACGAAGTAAAAAGAAGACTTCTTTCGCATATATTCGTTCTATTCTAATTTCTAAACGCAAGTTTTACCTTCACAACAAGTGCGACATCACAAAGCCGAGAATCATCACGAAGTTCAGCAAGTTGTGATAACAATAGGCGGCTGTGAGTGGTACTCTAAAAAT